TTCTTAATAAGTGAGGTATTTTAGTCATTTTTGTAGAGAAAAAGAAAATTTTTGGCATACCGATTACTTTGAATTATTAAATGTAAGAAGAATCACAAATTGGACTTTTTTTCTGTTTGTTACTGCAATAAGTTGTACCCCTCATCTATGGAAATGTTAATGCCTTAGGCAAAGTCCTCCTGTTATTTAGTTTGTACTGAAATGGATGCTTCATTCAGTAATAACAAAATATATTTTGTGGTAATCAATATAGTGAGCATTTACAATTTATCTTCCTAGTCCCTTATCAAGAATAGAATGAAATGTTAAGGGTTGGAAAGAGTCATATAAAAAATTGTGATTAACCCTTAAATTTTACAATGGAAACTGATCTTTTGATGAGTGAGCCTTATGATCTACGGCCGACTATTCATTTTTACCTACATATAGAAAGATAAGTTTCAAACCTTACATATTAAAAATTCAATAATAATATCAGTTTTGCCATAAATTTCTCATTAATTACAGATTTTTACTCATTCAATGTTCTACATATAATTAATTTTTGTTTAAGTAAAAGTGTTTCAATGAATTGCTTTTGCTTCTGTAAATTATCTATTTGAGGAAACATTGTTATGAAAAGAAAGGAGATTTCAGTGAAAGAGAATCATTCCTATGTGATTAAAAACACATAGAATTACATTTTAACCAGAGAAGGTTAAGGTTGGAAGAAATAATTCATGAGCATTTATTAGAAACTAGGTATCCATTGAGGAATGCTGCCCATCAGTATAAACTTAATTCTTTAAATGAGCTAGTCATATGTCAATTGATGTGTTGAAAATAAATGTTCTCATTATAGAAAAACATATTTAAATGACTTAGGAAAAAGGTAAGAATAAATGTTTTAATGTTGAGATGGCAATTTCTCAGATATAAAATAGTTTATGATTAAATTTGCCCTACTACACATACACAATAGATATTAAATGCAGAGAAACTCAGAGGAGTATATTTCCTAGCAATTGAGTAAAATAAGGAGAATGAAGAACACAAACTTAACTTAATTGCCTGTAGGTATTATTACTTACTTCTCAGCAAAATTATCATGTTTATTGTGTTTTGTTCACAGAATAAAGCTCTAGATAGAGGGACAAATGTGAGCACCGAGTTTGTTCATTTTGCACTTTATGATAGGCAGTATGATCATTAATTTCGTATTTACTTAAATGTCATCACTGTAGTAGCAGTAAATATTTTGAAAATGTGTTAATAAACCTAATTTTTAAATTTTGCTTAGGAAATGATCTATTCCTCATATGCTACTTATATGTGATTATTTAAAAATAAGTTAGTATTCCTCTTAAGGAGACACTACATAATTGCGTGAGACATTATAAAGAAATATATAGTCTTCTATTTATAATTTTAATAATGGAGTTTGAGCTATGAAGAAACATAAAAATGCATACATTTAAAATGGAAATTATATATTCCACACAGACAATACAAATGATTATATGCAGATTGAGTTAATTGGGGCAAGTATAATATGTGATGATTTTTTTTAAAGATTTATTTAGTTATGCATACAAGAACTGGGGTACAGGCCAGAGATGCGGGGTGGGGGTTGAGAGGATTCACCAGAGACAGAGTGAGGAGCAGAACAGGCAGATCCACTGAAACACACTGCTGAGGGGAGGAGCGGGGAGTCAGGAGAGGTCTGCTGGGCCATGTGGGTTGCTTCCTGGCTGGCCTGGGATGAACTTGTGCTGCAGAGGCTGAGGACAGCTTCATAGGTAACCCTTTGTGCCACCAGGGAGGCCCCGCATGTGATGATTTTTATGCTGGTCTTAAATGAACAAATCTATACAAAGGAATTGATTTATAGGTGATCAAAGAAATTACCTTAGCAATGGTGCTGCAATGGAATTTAGAAAAACAGTGAATTTGCATAGACAGTTGATGTAGCTGAGGAGCAAAAATGATTTTCTCTCTATCACTCTAGATTCATGACTGAGAAAAACCCCTATAGTGAAAGACAGATTAGCAGAGAAAAACAAACTGAAATTTAATAACATGAAACTTCCTTTATACTTGGGAAATATGAAGGAAAACTGAGTACCTAATGGTTCAAACTACCACCTTAAATACCATCTCAAGTTAAAGACAAAAAATGTGGTAGGCAGGAGGGAGAGCCACTTATGAAGTATTATCAGGTGGTGGGAAGTAAACAAGGGTATTATCGTTACACAGATTTCAGTTTTTGCCTTATCCATTGATAAGAGTTTATTGAGATTTGGTCATTCTCCTCTTCCTGATACATAGAGACTGGCACCCTTACAAATAGATATTTTCCTTATAAATGAAAAAAAAAAAAAGGGTACCTTCCTGGTTTTTCAGTGCTTTTCCTTTGTTTGCGCTTTCTTAAAATAACCCTTATGTCCAAAAGGTGTATTTTGAGGTGGTGCATTCTTTTCCGCTTTAGTCCCCTTTTGAAACTTCAAATAAAGCTCACATGAGGACCAAGGTTTTTTTTTTTTAATATTTATTTATTTATGCATACAAGAATGGGGGTACAGGCCAGAGGTGTGAGGGGTGAGAAGATTCACCAGAGACAGAGGGAAACAGAACAGGCAGATTGAAATACTGCTGATGGGAGCAGCAGGCGAGACAAGGGAGGTCTGCTGCACCATGTGGGTAGCTTCCTGATTGAGGAGCAAACTCGTGCTTCAGTGGCTGCAGTAAGCTTCATAGGTTGCTTCTTAATCCCTTGTGCCACTAGCGAGGCCCTCGAGGACCTAGTAGATAAATTGTTTCACCAGCTGAACCATCTCTGGGTTCCAAGAATAGAAAATAATAAATCAGTTATATGTAATTTCAGGGTGTGGTGTTACAGCTGGGCTGCCAGTTAGGCCTATATTATTTAAACTATCAAATGTTTCATAAGAGGAATTTTATAGAAACTATAGAAAACCAAAGGCTAAAGTTGGAGTTGACTGTAAATCTTGTGTGAATCCTGAGGGCAGCTAGTCAAGGATTTCTAGATGTTGGGTTCAAAGCATCATTTGCAGTTTGATTCAGGTCATGACATTGGGTGTTCCAGTGAACACCTGTTTGTGTGGAGCGGTCAACACAAGAACAGGCATGGAGATGGTCTAAATATAATTTCTTTGAAGTGTGTGTTGAATCAGTAGCATTCAGTTTTCAGGACTTTAGGGAAAAAGGACAGTTTTTGTTCTTAGTGATTCATGTGAATCTTCGTGATTCATATGAATCTGTGTGACAGACATTCAGGCACCTCGGTCTTAGAGGAGTTCATGCTCTAAAATGGGTCCTTCCATCAGCCACAAGGTAACAGACTTTTACTGTGAAAAATATTTAGTAATTAATGCTTATGTGGAGAGAGAAGATTAAGGATATTCCTTATAATAGTTTCCCTGTAAACTTTCCAAAATTGCCCATCCCCTTATGGGCAAATGTTTTGCCCAGTAAGGCTGTCCCAAAGCAGTGCTGCTGAGGCCCAAAAGCTTGGCACAAGGACCTATCTGGTGGTCTAGGGGTTAAGTCTCAGCGCTATCACCGCTACGGCCTGAATTCCATCCCTGGCCAGGGAGCTGACCCATATGGTGCAGCAGCTGACCCACCTGTCTTGCCCGCTGCTCTCCTCAGCAGTGGATTTTAGTAGAGCTACCTGTTCTGCTCCCCACTCTGCCTTTGGTGAAATCTCTCACCACCCTGCACCTCTGGCATGCACCCCAGTTCTTCTATGCAAAAATAAACACACAAAAGTTTCACACATGTCTCAGGTACCTTCTGGTGGATCAGCAAGAAAATGGGAAGATAGGCCCCAAAGAAATGGGATAGAAGGAGATGCCACTTCAAGATAATGGCTACCACTGTCAGTCTCCACACCTGTCTCTCACCCACATGACTCTTTCAGGTGTTTCTACATAACTCTCCTCCACACATCTCCTTGCACATCCCAGCTAGGAGAAGTAGAGCCCCTCTCTTGAGCCCACCTACCTCCCATGTTACATAGCTTCATTTGGTAGCTTAGCTCCGCCTCTACTTCCCAGCAGTTACTCCAAGACTGCTGTATGTAAGTAGTGCAGGGAACATGTTATCCCCTGTAAGACAACCAAAACAAAAGAAACTCAAATTAAGAAGATCTTAACTAAGGCCTCCCTGGTGGCCCAGTGGGTTAAGTCTCAGCACTATGAAGCGAACCACAGCCACTGCAGCACAAGTTCGATCAGCAACCAGGGAGTTGGCTCACGTGGCGCAGCAGACCTCTCCTGTCTTGCCTGCTGCTCCCTGCAGCAGTGTATTTCAGTTGATCTGCCTGTTCTGGTCCCCACTGTGTCTCTGGTGAATCCTCTTACCCCCCTGTACCTCTGGCCTGTAACCCAGTTCTTGTATGCATAAATAAATAAATCTTTAAAAAAGAAAGAAGAGCTTAACTCTTTTCTCCTATGTGGACATAGACATAGAATACCATCTTAGTGGGAAATATACATGAATCCAATAAGGACTCAGTTGGTCTAGTCTACTCTTAGGAGAATACTAATATGGTTAATGCATGCGTCTTTAGCAGTGTATGTACTGCCTGTAGATTTCTACTTTTTTTTTTTTTACAAAGGCACAGAACAATTGGCTTGCTTTCTTTGAACTCTCTTATGTTGAAATGAATGCTTACAAGCATCTTTATGTTGTTCATTATAATATCGACTCCTAATAAACCCAACTTTATTCACTTCATATTTTTCTAAAACCTGTCAGCATGAAGTTATTTATCCTGCAGTTTGTAAAGATTTGGCCAGGTTTATTTTTTTCTCTTGATTTTTCAGACCGGAGTCTGAATCAATTTGATGCTTTACAACTGTTATATTAGATGCATAGCAAGCAAGGCTATCCAGAGGACTTTCGCACAATCATGTGTAGTTACTGAAAATTCTGCTCCTTTATGTGTCATAAAACAAAATGGAATTGTTAAAGTCTTCAATCACTCTCTGTGTGTTTTTAAAAAGCTATCAGAAGATGCAAACACAGTGTGAATCTATTGTTGTCTCTAGTTCAGCTGACATAATCAAAATTATCCCAAGTGATGATATAAAATAAGAGCTACTCTTGAGTAAGTTAGATGTCTAGAGAATAAGTATAAATGGCTTTTGTATTCTTCAGCTGTTTATGAAATTATAGTTGGTGCAGATATAGACCAATTGATTTGAGTATTTTTATTGTTAATGGCTGTGGATGAGGCTATTTATTCAACTTTGCCTTATTAGTGAATTAACAATCATTTTATTGTTGAGATAATTATTAATATTGCAGTCTTTATTTTTTATTTGAGAGTTAAATAGTATCTTGGTGGGCATTAGGATTATAAAATTAACTTGGTGTTAATACTTTTGTCCATCCAACGGTATTTAGCAACTAGATCATTCATCTAGATCATTTATCTAGATAACTTTCAGACTTTGAGACCCATGATGCAAATATTCCTGCTTGGATTCTGATTAGGTTTGCACTTGCCATGATGTGCATTCTGGACATGATATTAAGCCTTTTCCAAAGCCTTTTGAGTAGACTTCTAATAGTGGTCAAAATTGGGATTCTTTGGATTAAACTCTTAGTCAAAGCTGTTGACAAGGCTTCCTTGTGCCTGGAGTATCAAAAATACTGTAGTAAAAACAGAGTACTGAAGTAAGAATAGTCAGCGGGCAGAATGAAGGGCACCCAAGGACCCCAAACCTACATTTCTAAATGGGTTCTGCCATCCACTGTACAAAGACAAAGCATGTTCTTAAAGTTTGAAATTAGTTTATATCGGGAGAAATAGTGAATCAGTGATATTAGCAATTACATATCTACTATGTAATTGTTCTTGATGGGAGGGACATCTGTTTCCCTTTTGTCCTAACCTAAAGATATGTCTATGCTAGAAAAAAGCAATTTAAATGGTCTTCTTTCTAAAGAGTGCACAGCAGGGACTTCCTGGTAGCTTAGGGGTTAAGTCTCAGCGCTATCACCAGTATGGCTAGAGTTGGATCCCTGGCCAGGGAGCTGACCCACATAGGACACAGCAGACCTCTCCTGTCTCGCCTGCTGCGCCCCTTAGCAGTGGATTTCAGTGGATCTGCCTGTTCTGCTCCCCAATCTGTCTCTGGGAATCCTCTCACACCCCCCCACTTCTGGCCTACACCCAGTTCTTCTATGCAAAACACAATAAATAAATAAACACCCTAACTGGTTTTCCCTCTTCCCCAACCTTCCCTGTCTTAGGCAAGCTACTTAAGATGACATCTAAAGCCACATGGGTGACTGAGCTTTGCTGAGTCTTTCTCATGTTTTTAGGAGGCAGACATATTATTATTAAAATTCTGTTTTTTTCCTCTTATTACCCTCTCTGATTCTTGTTAGATAATCTGCTAGCATAGGAGAACGAAGAGGAGTGTGAGTTGATTTCCTGTGAGTTGATTTCCTTTTGTTACCAGGTGAAGAGTCTAAAAAACTCATTGGGTCAGAACCTCTCTGACCAATTCTGGGTCCAGCCATCTGGCACCATAGATGAGAACAAAACAGCCTTGTGCAGCAAAAGAAGAAAAAAAAAAGGTAATTTATCAAACCAGTGGTGTAGAGGGAGAGGAAGGACTGTCTCTCCTGGGCTGATGGTGCCAGGTGGTGGTAGAGCTACAGGATCTGGGACTAACACTGCAGGGCAAAATCTCAACAAGTCTTTCTGTTATTGGAAGGCTGAGGGGCACCCTAAAACCCCCAAACTTGCACTTCTATAGGGACCTAGCCATCTGTGTGCACAAAAACAAAATAGACTCCTAGTGTGGAAGAACTTTAATAGATCAGTATGCACAGGGAAACAAGAGAAGAAAGAACAGTTTCCCCAAAAAAAACCCCAAAGTTACCCATCCCCTCATGAGTAAATGCACACTCAAACAAGGTCAGCCCAAAGAGGGGCTGCAGAATCCCAAAATCTTGCCACAAACCCAAGGCACCTTCTGAAGAACACTTGGTGAGGGGCGAAAAGTGCTGGCAAATCAAGATAATAGCTACCCCTGTCAACCTCCTCATGAGTCTGTCATCCACCTGTCTCTTCTAAGTGTCTCTACAAGTCTTTCCTCTAAGTCTCCCAAGTCCCTGATGCAAGTCTAAAACCAGAAAGCAAGCAAGCCCTTCTTCTCCATGTGTCTCCTTGTGCCCACCTACCTCCCACCTTGCAGAGCTTCACCTGACTGATGTGCTGGCCCGTCACTGAGGAAGTCAGGGAACGTGGAACCTCGCCTTTTATGAAAGTGCCTGTGTTACACTGCATCCACCCTGTGCAAGCGGTGGCAGTGGCCCACCGTGCTGAAGTTGAGGCCCCCCCATCCCTCCTCACCCCCCTTCTCCCCTGTGGAGAAGGGAGCAAAAGTTGCCATCCAGCTCACCTGAGTCGCAGCTGCCATGTGACTCAACCTCTTTTCAAGGCTCCCCCGCAGATGACCCGTCTGCTCAACCACTTTGCTCAGGACTTCAGGGTGGAGTTGAGACCACGGCATGGCACCTGTGTCCCCACCATGCAGCAGTGGGTGTGAAAAGTGGAATTCGTTGCTGAGATGCTCTTCTCTGACATCTCCCGTGGTAATCATTCATCTGTTTCTACAATTGAAATGAAAGGTGTTTTCATTTCCATTTATAGATGAGAAAACAGAGTCAGGGAAGTTGGCTTCATATATGCCACAAGGCAGAGCAGGAGTAGTAAATCTTTTTTTTTTTTTTTAAGATTTATTTATTTATACAAGAACCAGGGTACAGGCCAGATGATGCTGGGAGGGTGAGAGGATTCACCAGAGACAGAATAGGGAACAGAACAGGCAGACTGGCGAAATACACTGCTGAGGGGAGCAGCAGGCAAGACAGGAGAGGTCTGCTGCGCTATGTGGGATTCTTTCCTGCTGGCCGGGATTGAACTGGCGCTGCAGAGGCTGTGGACAGCTTCACATTGCAGCACTCAACTGCCTGCGCCACCCGGGAGGCCCTCAGAGCAGTAATTCTTGTCTAGCTCGGCTCTGTATGGGATCTAGTCCTCTACATCATATGGTTATGACTTGCTTATCAAGTTTTTTTAATCAGATTTCATAGATTTTGTGATTAAAATATTTATTATTTCATGAATCACACATGATTTCTCTTTCTAGAGCATTTCTTAAATTCTAAATGGCACATTTACTCCCTTTTTAATGTTACTGAAAGTTAAGTGCTGCGAAAATGAATGTCACGATGACATTTTTACAAAACCTGAAATTAAATTTGGTTAAATGAATAATGTAATTGAACTGGGAAGGAAGTTATTTGCATCCATACATATGTTTAAGAAACAGTTTTTTTCTTTACATTCCCTTCTCCCTAAAAAAAAAAAAAAAACTCTGCTTTTGTGTGAAAACTATGTAAAGACTGAAATACTATTTCATTATATCTGTTCTTATATTTCCTCCATCCATTGGCAAATTTTCTCTTACTGATTTTCATAGTCTTCAACATTTCTTTATTTCTTTATTTATTTGTTTGAACTTACTCAGTTGTGTTATGAGAAGATAACTCTTGTTGTATAGTTTTCTGGGAGAATTTGACCTAATAGCTGTCAGTTTTTTAATGAATTCACTAGTTACTGAATTTTTTTTTTAAAGATTTATTTTTATTTATTTATACAAGCACTGGGTATAGTCAGAAGCGCGGGAGGGTGAGAGAATTCACCAGAGCCAGAGCAGGGAGCAGAATAGGCAGAATGATGAAGAAGTACACTGCTGAGGGGAGCAGCGGGCAGCAGGAGAGGTCTGCGCGCCTTGTGGCTGGTGGCTGGGGATCAAACCCGTGGTGCAGAGGCTGCGGGCAGCTTCACAACCCAGCGCTCAACCACTGTGCCACCCGGGAGGCCCTAGTTACTGAAATTTTTCACTAGGAGTTTTATTTCCTGCCACTTCTTTTCTCTATTGTGTTAATGCAAACATTACAATGTCTTTAAACTTACCTATATTTTATGACATTTCTCCAATCTTTTTTCAACTTCATGGAGAGAAATCTGTGTCTACTATTGAGTGTTAAAATTTCTTACTGAACTTTTCTTTGTCTTAACATGTGAGGGTTTGCTACCAGGGATCATAAAACCTTAGCAGAAAGAAAGCTGGAGTTGAAAGATACTAAAGTTGGGCCTCCCTGGTGGCCTAAGGGTTAAGTCTCAGTGCTACCACTGCAAAGGCCTAAGTTCGACCCAGGTCAGGGAGCTGATCCACATAGGGCACAGCAGACCTCTCCTGTCTCATCTGCTGCTCCCCTCAGCAGTGGATTTCAGTAGATCTGCCTGTTCTTCTCCCCACTCTGTCACTGGTAAATCCTCCTACTCCCTCTGTCCCTGGCCTGCACCCATTTCTTCTACATAAAAATAAATAAAATTAAAACAAAACAAAATTAAAGACTGACTTCATTAGGGGAGGGGAACAAATTAAAATGTTGAAAGGAAACTGAGGCTGGGTCATAGTTAAATGATCCATGTGGTAAAGAATAGTGGAAAAAACTCATTTGAGGGCCCAGTCCAAACTATACCATCAAAGGTATTTCCAACAAAAAATGAAACAGTTGTGACACTTTCATTGTCCTGATCTGTTTTCATTCATTCATCCAGCATCTGTTTATTGGACACCCAATATGTGTGCGATTCCATGAAGCTGTAATGGTAAACAATAGATATGCAGTCCTTTTGTCCTAAAAGAGGCTTGATTTTTTTAAAAAAATATCCATTTATTTTTGTGTAGAAGAATTGGGGTGTAGGCCAGAGGTGTGGAAGGTGAGAAGATTCACCAGAGACACAGTGGGGAGCAGAAAAGGCAGATCTACTGAAATCCACTGCTGACGGGAGCAGCAGGTGAGACAGGAGAGGTCTGCTGCACCGTGTGGATCAGCTCCTTGACCTGTGATCCAACTCAGGCCTTAGTGGGCTGTTGTGGTGGTAGCACTGAGACTTAACCACTTGCCCACAAGGGGGGCCCCTAGAGCCTATATCCTTGTTATAAATGCTAGGGAGGAATTTGCAGAAGTGTAGAATTTCTTACCACAGTAAAAAAGAGTGAGAGTAATTTATATCAGCATGGATAGATTCTTGGTGGGAGTATGATTTATTTTGAATCCAGAAAGATAGATTCATCCAAGCTAGAGCACGGGAGAGTAAGTAGGCATTTCCCACAGCTCATCATCTCATGTTTCTAGATTTCCAAGTTTGGTCTTATTACTTGTCTTTTTTTTTTTTTTTTTTTTTTTGTGAAATACCTAAGTTTATGTCTATGAATCTGGATCAGAAATTAGGTGGAGAAAAAAGAAGTTGAGGAAGACTAGTGGCCAAGCATTTAAAATATGAGGATTCCAGGAACCGATGCAAGAACAGCAAGAGAAAACTTCAGATGTCCTTTATAACTTGTGGTTTTAAATCTGAAGTTTTGTGCTATTACAGCATATTAAGGGGATTTCTAAATCTGAATCGGAGGGCCGAGGCTATTTTCAAAAGCAGTGGATTTCAGAGTTGAGACCTGAATAATGATTCTGTGCTAGTTAGGAAAAAGACAGATGGTAAAATGAGGGGGTGGGGGGGAGTGAGGGTGTGAAGATGAATCAGGCAGGGAGAATAACTTGAGAATGGGCCCAGAGGCAGGAGGCTGGGAAATCCTGTACTTCAGTTTCCACAGCATGATAGGAAAGGCCAGCAGTGATGATGTGTCACTGAAAAGGTATACAGGGATTGACAGTGTGACACCTTTTCATTGTAGCAAATAGAGAGGTGACTTTATTAAAATCTTACATTTAAAGGTATTACTATGTTTTGTTTTTTTAAAAGATTTATTTATTTATGCATACAGGAACTGGGGTACAGGCCAGAGGTGTGGGGTGGTGAGAGGATTCACCAGAGACAGAGTGGAGAAAAGAACAGGCAGACTGACTGAAATACACTGCTGAGGGGAGCAGTAGGCAAGACAGGAGAGGTCTGCTGCACCATGTGGATAGTTCCCTGGCTGGCCCGGGGATCGAACTTTTGGCTGCGGATAGCTTCATAGTGATGTGCTTAACTGTTTGCGCCACCAGGGAGGCCCTAACTGCAGTTTTGAAAGCAATTTTGAGTGAGGTGTGGTTATCAGGCAGAAATATCTAGAAGGTATTATGGTAGCCTTGGTGATATAATAAAGCCTTACCTATTTCCAAAGATACCCCAATAGAATTTTTGAACTAATATAGCCTCTTATACATGAATGAATTGATATACAAATTTATCATAAGTTGAAATAATTTCAAAAGATAATTTTTAGCATATTGTAATTTTTGACATTTTGAGATAAATCTGTTGTATCACTTAAATATATCCCTTAGAGTCTGAAAAATATTGAGATTCAATATGCATAATTATCCATTTAAAATATTTGAAATATCTCTTGTAGAACTTTGAAAATGTTTATGTGTGTTGGGGTGTAAAAGAAATCATGTCTTTCTGGGTTCTTTAATTGGCAAATCATCAAACAGGCTTCAGACAGATTGATAACAGAAAAAGCCATACAAAATTTGAATAATAACACATATTC